TTTCTTGTGCAAATGAATTTTATTTCTGTCTGCAGTTTCTTTTCCTCATGTAAATGGTTTCAGTACTCAAGATTTCCATTCGCAATTCGTTTAGCAATTTGCCTCATTTCCAAGAGGACTTCTCTTGATCATCGACTGAAATGTGGGTATAAGTGCTCAAGTCTTTTATCAGCTGCGGTTTCCGTTGTGAATCAAATTCTTGAGTCTGAAAATCTTACCGGGTAAGTTCAGCACTGTAATTTTTAAAATACAGTCGCTGTGCAAATTGTTGTAAACTAAGTCATTTATCAGAAAAGTAAAACGAAATCAAAGAGTAAAAGATTATTTACTAGGGTAAAGTAAGCAGTAACCGATATCGCAGAGCACAGAATCAAAAAACTACACCGTCTCTGCTGCAGGATAATCTTAAATTTTTATGAATAATATAATATTGCATATTATTGGCCGCAGCGCCAAAACTTCTGCAGCCTTCAGACGGTGTCTAAAATCGCTTGCCATAGAGCGATTTTTGGCTTCTTCCTACTAACACAAAATCCTTTTCGATTCTGTTCAGCTGTCTAAATTTTCCTCCTATCCATGGTCGAAGGTTCTGCGAGTGTCTTGCTGGCAATGTGGAAAGAAAATGTAGAGCAGCCAAACTATGCGGAGGTTGAGAAGCTCTGTGCGATTTGGGGTACATATTTCTAGAGCGGTCTCTAGCTTCATAATTAATAAGTGAGGTAGAATTAGTAAAAAAGAAAAGTGGATCGAATCATAGAATTTAGAAAAGAATCAAGCAAAGTTACCTTGCAGCTATCAAAATGCTTTTTTTTTAAGTGGTCCCTGGTAATCGCGAGAACCAGTAGCACGAGAGAAACGATAAGTAGCGCAAGAAGAGTGAGTACGACTTTGAAATAACATGTTAAACTTTCCACATGATTGACAATTCGATCTAACGCCAAGTTTACATTTGCTAATGTCTGAAAAAAAATTTCTTTTCAGAAATTTCTCACTTTTTGAACTCCAAATGTTGTTGGTACAAAAAACATTTCTGCTTTGTTGCTTAGTAATTGGTTAGCTTCGGAGTAATTGGTAGTTGTCTTATAAAACTACAGTTTAAATTTTTGAACTAGGTATTGGTAAATAAGAAAACTTCAATCAACCAAAAATATTTTTTCAGAAAATTTTTTTAGGGCAGAGAGTTTGAATTGAATTACCAAAATGATCGATTATTCGTACTATTTTATTTTAGCGTATTTTCAGCTAGTTTTAGATAAGATAGAAAAGTGTATAGCAATATTTTCACAGATAGTTGCTATTCGACTGGAAAGCAGTAAAATTATAAATTAAAAAATGAGATTTTTTTAGTATATGCGCTTGTGGATACGTCTATCAAAAAACCTTTGCAGAAGTTTTTCTGGATAATTTTTGGTTGATAAATTTTTTAAATCTAGATAAATTTTGTTCGTTTTCTGAATGTTAACAAACGCTAAAGTAAGAAAAGAAGAATGTTTAAGTTAAGAAGATGAGGAGATAAAAGTTAAAAAGTACTTGTAGTTGAAGCAGTAATAACGGTGACCTGCCACCGCCGTGATACTGAGTAAACTGCTGTACAAAGGCAAAAGGTCAATGCTCAATACTTCAGAAAGAAATAATAAAAGAGCAGAAATAATTTGTCATAAAAAAGTAATGATTACTCAACTCTAAGATACTTTTTTAGTTTATTAGATTATTACGAAAAGAGGACAGTTGTTTACCAATATGTATGCGTTAAAGTAAAATAGCGTTAAGCTGAATTCAAAAAAGAACAACTAGTTACCAGCAATGTAAAATCAAAAAAAAAAAAAAAAAACTAGGCCAGAAATATTAGTAAACTTAAAGGAGACACTTACCTGGTCCATCGACATGATTTCCGCAGAAATTTGAAACAGCAGAAGATAGACAAATTATTTTATTCACGTTACAGGTGAATTGCAAAAGTGAATTTTATAAAGTGTAATATGCTAAGAAAGATAAGAAGTTAAAAGGTAATATGAAATGACTGTTTTGTTCCGTCATAAACCAGAACAATAAATTATTTATTTATAAAAATGTACTTAGAAACCTGGTAATTACTGATTAGCCAATACTGCACAAAAACATTTTCAAGTTAAAAGTTTTTTTTTTT